CACTCGATTGGGAATTTTATTACGAGTTTAACAAGGTATGGCATTCCATGTTTGAACTGTTACTTTTATTGTTTCGGCCAAAATACTACTCATTTTTGGGGTAAAAAGTGTGAATTTGGATCACCTATTTTTGCGAAAATCGCTCAAAAATTAAGTTTTCCAGGTTTAAATGCCAATCGATTGGGAATTTTATTACGAGCTCAGCATGGTATGGCATTCCATACTTGGACCGTAATTTAATTGTTTTTTAGTATGTGGCTAATATATTAATATATGTATGTTTAAATTTTAAGTCATTTTTTGTTCAGAAAAAAATATTGTCTAAATTCTTAATTTTTTTTATTTCTTGGACAATATTCTTTTTAAAAATATTATTATTTGGTTTAGTTTGCCAATTATAAATATTTTATAAAATCTATAATTGCATTATGGTCAAAGCAAAGGTCCTTAAAGTTCCGTGGGTACACAGAGGGTTAACTTTTCACAGGTGGATGCGCCCCGTTGGGCACGTGCCATATTTTTATTGGAGGCCATGTAATTACCCAAACGAATAACGCATAACGATAACGAATTTCCATGCAACTGCAGAGCTCGGACGTCTTTGGGCGCAACATCGTCATCATGGTGTGGCAGCGGTGCGTGGGCTTCGAGCACAACCAGGGCCTGGGCGGCACGGAGGTGAACCTGGACAAGGTGAGCATCGGACAGCCCATCAGCGGATGGTATCCGCTCTTCCCGATGCACAGCTACGGAGGCTCCGACTCGGACAACTCTCCCTGACCGAACAACCCACTAATCGCAGTCCGCAGGCAGTGCCGAGGTCGAGGTCCCCTGGAACCGGAGGAAATCGGGATCGGAATGCCATTGCAAGCTCAATTTGTTAGCGCCTAAGAAATGGACACCATACTATATATATTGTTAATCTGAGATATACAGATATACCCCATAGAAGCATTACGTCCCCTGTATGTATTAGTTATTAGTTAAATGAGCTTAGCACGGGCTGGCAGGTGGTTATGTTACACCAAATACTAAATACATTCGTGGTGAGAGAGCTTTGTAAGTAAGGTACACAGGTAAGGCAGCACTAAGGTGGGGAGTACGAGTAGTACCCATATCAGACAGCACAATAATTGAGGAATCGGAGTACCAGAAGCATATAGTATATACACGCGTTTATATATTTTTGCTTGTTGTGTTTGTGAAAGTTTAATGATGTTCGCATTTGAATGGAAATGGGATTGAGGAATGGAAACGAAACGGGCACCAAAACAATAATGTTGAAATTTCGAGGCAACGAAGTGGGTGAGCACTCACCCCACAGAGAGGGATTTAAAGCTTGGTAGCTAACAGAGGCATACTTGTATCCTAATAAGTGTTAATTAAATGTTGCGCAGAAAATAAAAGCCGAATAGGCTAGCCCCAACTATCCGTACAGCTGACAACCCCGCCATGGTTTCAACTGCTCCACAAACACGAAACCTGAATATCTAAAGGTCTATAAAGCTGAGTCTCTAAAAATCGTACTATCTGAATATCCCAAAGTTAAAAAATCTGAAAATCTGAAAATCGAACGAAAGGAAGCTAGTTTAAATCGACAATCTTTATGGGTGTGTGCTTGTGTGGGTGTGAGAATTGAGTGCGATTAAAGAGTGATTAAGACGAATTTACTGTAGTCATTTTATGGTAGGGCATTGATTGCAACACAGCCGATTAAAGACATCCCCCTCTTCCTGTTTCTCCCACTTTTTCAAAACTATCTAAGAGGATTTTCAGCCACACAAAACAGGACAATCTCGTGTAATGAAAAAAGTGAAAAATTTACATTTTCGGAACTTGTGTATAAATCTAATATCTAATCAGCGTACAGCCTAACGACTTGGAGTTTCAAACTAAAGTTACAAACACACATATACATTTATTTATACAACGCTTACACTTGAGTCGTATTACCTAGAGTACTTAAGCTGCAAAGACATTGTGGAACTTTTACTGTCCTAACACTTTTAACGCTAGTCACGGTTTCTAAAAGGTCCTTAAGCCAAAACCATTTCTTGTGCGAAACTTAACGACTCTTTAACCGGGACAGCAACTATATATCCGTATCTGCATCTGTATCTGTTTCAAGGGCAGCTGCGGGCCTTTCTTATTGTTAGATGTTGCTTTAAAAACCCAAAGAGAAAATACTTAGTACCAGATAATCCATTGTTGTATCTTGTAAGTACTTGGTAGTTGTCAAGGTAGTCAGGGTAAAAGAAATATTCCTGTTTTATTTCGGTTGGCTAATTACTCTTCACAATCTGGCTGTTGTTTTTTATACCTAGTTGGGTAACGAAAACTAAAATGGTTGTGCTATCTCAAAATTAAAACTACTTACTAATGTTCTACTCGTTGATGGAGCTATTTCTCCGGCAAAGTGAGCCGCTATCAACTACTCTTAGGTACTTTTTGGTCTTTTCTACTAAATAACTCTAATACTACGACTTTTATTACTTATTGTACTTAGCCGGGAGTTGGTATAGAGGACTTTGAAAACTGTAAAAATAACACCATATCAGCGTGTAGCGTTGGGCTGGAATCTGGGGAGGATTGCGCTTCAAAAGTGCCGAGTGGGCTGTAGCAAGGCTTATAAGAATACAAATCTACTACTTGTTAAAAAATAAATTAGCCATTACCTGCGTACACTATGTAAAACAATATACACAGATGTGAACTATATGAATATGAACGTACATATTATATATTATTATATTTAAAATAACTGTAGAAAAACCAAAAGAGACCCACATTATATGTATATCAAATTGAGTTTCAATAAACATCAAATATTTATTTGAAGTTGTCTATTATTCTTGGATTTTTCTATTTTGTTGACGGTGGATATAAAAAAATACCTCCAAGAAAATGTAAACTACGTTTGTTAATTCAAATATACAGGACAAAAATATTGTTTTTAATTCAACCAGCAACTTAAAATACATACAATTTTTTTGATTGGTAACAGGCAACTAAAAATAAACTAACACTTCTAATTCACTTGACTTAGTTTCTAAATTTCCCAATGGTGCTGGGAGCGGAACTGCCTGCAGGAGTTGCGCCCACAACAACTCCTCCGTTGTTCAGCAAAGCCGTAAGTGTGGCGTGCGAGGAGCTGAGGGTGGAACTGGCAGCCAGCTTGGTCTTAAGCGGCGTTGTTGTGCTGCCCACCACCTGTCCCTGCAGGCAGGGAGTGGGAGAAGCAGCCGGGAGTTCCTTTAGCACAGTTTCTTCAGACGGCGGCGTGGCGACCTGTTGTTGCTGCTGCGCTGAGGCGCCCTGCAGCAGAGCATTCCTCAGATGGCTGTTGTTGGCATTTCCCGACTGCTGCTGGCTGGGCATAATATACGAATTGGTTATAAGCCCGCGGCTCTTTATATTCAGATCCACAAAGAACAGGCGCATCTTGTGTATCATGGCATCGGTCACACTAAAGGTGAGCATCATGCTGAGATCAATGTTGGTTTTGTGGCGATACAGATCGTGAGTTTGCTGCAGGCGGCATACTTCATCGTAGATTAAAAACAAGAACCTCGAGCTGCGATTCTCGGCTGGAATAATGCCCCGAGTGGCCAGCCACTCCCTGTCCTCGCCATCCGGCAGGTAGCGTATCAATTCCGGATGCTTGCTGGCCAAACGCTCCTTACCGTCAGTGCCAAAACCAAACGCTAGGTTGGCCTGCACATCCAGCACAAACTTGGTGGTGGTGGAGATCTGCGCGGTGTTCCAAAATATCTGCCGGCGCACAGGAGTGGGCAGAGTGCCACCTACCAATGGAGTAACAGCGGAGCGATGCTGCTGTTGCTGTTGGTTTTGCGTTTGAGTTTGTGTTTGTTCCTGCTGTGGCTGCAAGGGCTGAATTGTTTGCAACTCCGGTTGTTGGAGCAGGAGAGGCTGAGGAGCAGGTTGTTGGTTCTGGGTGGGCAACTGGTTGACCGTGGTGGCCGTGCAGGGCATCGGTTTGGTGGCCACAAAGCTCGTGTTTGGAGCAAATACTTTGTTAACTGGGTTAATCTCTTGCTTAGCTGTGCGTTTGAGAGCCAGGCGCTGCTGCTCCGTAGCGCCAGCCACCAAACGATGCTGGCGCACAAAGGTCGTGTACTGAGCCTTAGCGTTTTCCAACAGAGCACATGACGACATCTTCTGCAACGTTTCCTCGTTAACTGTGTGCTGACCAAGGTTCTCCTTGATGTTGCCAAAAGCAGGCTTAAAATAGTTCTAATTTAGTAAGATAAGAGGAATTAAAAAGCAGTTTCACTTGAAAGTAAGCATTAACCTACTTGCATATATCGTTTGATTATCTCGTTGACCTCCGCATCGAAGGCTTGCTGTACACTAATCCTAAGAAGTTCCAGAGCTCTCATGGCGGACTCTGCACTGCCGCCACTTTCCGTGTTATGTGAACCACCAAGTCTTTGGCGAATGCGTTGCAACATGTTCTCCGCCATGTCTGGTGTGGTTACATATTTCTGAGGGGTAATTAAAAGTTAACTTCTCTGTTAGTCGGATTAATAAACTCATAGTTACCTGCGAGGACTCCGCATCCGAGGATGTGGACTCGCCCAGCAGGGACAAGGTGATTGTGTTGCTCTCTGCTGCCGCATCCTTCTCCGCCTGCTTTCTTACCCCCTCCACCGGACTGGCCACCCGTGTGTCCATCGAATGAGTGGTTTGATTGGAACAGTCGGAGTCGTCTGAGGAGGAGTTTGCTGCCTGCAGCTGCATGCCCGGAGAAGAACGCTGCTGCACTTCGTTCGCTGATGTGGTGTTGCTGTTTAAGGAACCCCCCACATCGGTGGGGATTTTCCAACTTCGCTGAATGACCATTATTGGTTAGATAAATTTTTTAATAATTTTAACAAGTTTTGTTGCTGCTGGGCTGGCCGCAATCTGGGCTGGTTTTCCTGGGCGCGAGCTGAGCCTGTTTGTCCAGGGCCGAGTTTTCACTGCGCCTGCGCAGGAAAGTCACCCTCACACCGCCGCTCATTTTGCCTAGCAGACGTCAGCTGCTGGCGGCTCCGCACAGTCCATGTCGAATTCACCGAGCTCCAGGCGCCTCTGGTGATCTAGGACTCCTTTCAGGCCGTCATACTCATCGCTGTCAGCTTCCTCCTCCGCCTCCATGGTTACCTCAGGCTGCTTCTTTACTTTAACTGCCTTTCTCTGCTCCTTTATTTGGTTCCTATGCTCTTTCAATTTGCGATCAAACTCATCCATGTATTGCAAAGCCTGGCTAGGTTGGTAATCCTCGGGAGCCGAATAACTCTTACTCACGGGCAGTCCCAGAACATCTATCATCATAAAGGGAAACAGCCAGCACACTAAGGGAGTTACTTGGCACACATAGCTAGCTTCTTTGTGGTAAAACAGGAAACCATCTAGGGGCGGCTTGTTCTCCGGGAAAACCGGATACTTGTGCAGGACCTGCTCCACAGCAGAGGTGTCCTCGAAGTCGTAGTGGTCCAGGAGCACAAATGGCTTCTCGTTGTGCTCGTTAAGTTTGGAAAAATCATTCTCTTCGAAGCGGGCGCGCAGCCAATAGAAACGAAAGGATGCCTCGCAGTCCTGCAAGTCCTGTTGGCCAAATGAGATGGCATCCAGGACATAGAAGGTATCCGCATCCTCCACGTAAACGCAGTCAAGAATTGTCTGGCCCTTTTGGAGCTGCCAGTCGCCAGGCAAAGACGATCGCAGATCCATGAACATCCAGCCGCCTTTGGAGTACACTTTTGTGATCCCCTTGCTGGCCACCACGAGGCATCTCTTGCCCACGGGACAAGGAACCAGCAGCCACTCGCCGAGATCCTCGGGCTTATGGCGCAGCCACTCGGAAAGTTGTGGTCTGTAGGGGATTCCTTTTTGGTGACCAGCACGTTTCCAGTTCTTCTTCTTCTTTGGCGGTTTTTCGCCGGGTTTTTGCAGCGGCCGGGAGTCATCCTGGTCCTGCTGGCGGCGCAGCTTCTGCTGCTTCAGGAGGTCCTTTTGGCGCTGCTTCTGCTGCTCGCCCATGTCCAGACCCTTCTTGTACAGGTCCTGAAAGCTCGAGTTCATTTTTATTGCGAATTTATAAAAACCAAAACAAAAACAAGGCTGTAGTCGATAAACGGGAGGCGATATTTTGAGTAAGCCTATCGGGTAGTGTGACCGCGCCGACAACGATGAAATTTCTACCCAGTAAGATTGAACACCGTTATTATTTGATTTAAAGATATCCCAAAAAAGATATATTTGTATATTATAATACAATATTATTGCTTTTGATGCATTTAATGTGAGAAGTGTTGATTTTGATTGTATTGTTTTGTTTTAATTGTTCACGTCAAAGGGAGTGCACTGTATCACAGTTGTCAGCCATATTTTGTCTACTCATGTCTGGTCACACTGGCATTTTGCATTATTTTTTTTGCATTTACTTTACCGGTATTTTTATGAAATAATAACAATTAATTAACTTAAACTAAATGAAAACATGAATAAAGCCTCCCGACTTTTCTGCCCGGCTCTCATCACGCCCAAAAATGCGGTGATCAAGCAAACGGATCAGCTGTCCCGCAGTCAGAAGGTGGGAATTCACTATGCTGTTACGAAAGAAGTATTAACCGAAATCATATAAACTTTTCTAGCTGCTGACCGAACTGGGATTGGTGAAATCGGGCAGTAATGGCACATACCAGATAATGCCCGTGGCCCAGCGATCGGTGGACAAGTTGATTGACCTGGTGCAGAGCAACATGCAACAGGCAGGAGGACAGAAGATCACCCTGCCCATCCTGACGCCCACCGGGCTATGGAAGAAGACAGGACGACTGGAGGGAGACATCTCCGAGTTCTACATGGTGCGGGATCGCAGTGGCAAACAGTTCCTCATGAGTCCAGTGAGTGAGTGATCAGATTTACCGATTTCTGACTCAAATTTAACCTTATCTCATTGATTAGACCCACGAGGAGGCCGTGACAGCCATGCTGGCCACCACTTCACCCATTTCCTATCGCCAGCTGCCCCTGAGGCTCTACCAAATTGGCCCCAAGTTCAGGGATGAGCTAAAAACGCGATTCGGTTTGATGCGAGCCAAGGAATTCCTGATGAAGGACATGTACTCCTTTGATGTCTCCGAGGAAACAGCCAGAGAAACCTACTCCACAGTTAGTGCCGCCTACGACAGGTTGTTTAAACAGCTAGAGGTTCCATTCGTTAAGGGTAGGTATGCTAAACATTTAGCAAAGAAAATCCATTAACTCTAGGATCCCCTTCTAGTAAATGCCGCCACTGGCATAATGGGTGGCAGTGTTTCCCACGAGTACCACTATGTATCGCCCGTGGGCGAGGATACCCTGCTGCAGTGCAGCTCCTGTGGCTATGCGGGCAACTCTGAAGTCCTGGAAGGGGAGACAGTATCCCCAGCCAGCTGCCCCAGCTGTAAAAGCTTGGATTTAAAAGAAGTACGGGGAGTTGAGGTGGCCCACACCTTCCTGTTGGGCGACAAGTACTCCAAGCCTTTGGGCGCCACCTTTCTCAACACATCCGGCAAGCCACAACCGCTAGTCATGGGCTGCTATGGCATCGGTATCACCAGGATAATTGCTGCTAGTCTGGAGGTGCTCTCCACCGAACAGGAACTCCATTGGCCAAGGCTCCTGGCACCTTACGATGTGTGTTTAATAGGACCCAAGCAAGGCAGCAAGGAGCAGCCGGCTGCGGAGTTGATAGAGAACGAACTGCTGCTTAACGTGGGAGAACTTTGTGGCCACCAAGAGCTGCTGCATGACGATCGCAAGGAACTGACCATAGGCAAACGTTTGCTGGAAGCCAAGCGCTTAGGTCATCCTCTTACCATTGTGGTGGGGGCCAAGGCAGTCCAGCAGGATTCCCCAAAACTGGAAGTGCACCTCAGTAAAGGCGAAAAACTTGAGCTGGATCTTAGTGAAGCTTTAAAATTAGTATCAAAACACAGCCAATATAAAAACAGTCTCCTGAACGGAAGTTTTCATCGGGACGAAGAAGAAAGTAGAAGTCAATCAGTTGGCCATCAGCTTTAGCTTTATGCAATAAAGGTAACAATAACACACAACAAACAACCGCGCATCTAGACTGATTAAACTCAAATCAGCTCCGAGCTGCTCTGACTATTCGCACTAGTGATCCGCATAGTCGGGTTCCGGGATCTGCGGGTAGATCTGCACTTGGAGTTGCGGCTTGCGCGGCGGCGGTGGAGGCTTGGTCACCATGCTGGTGTACGACCAGGGCATTTGGTTGCGCAGCTCCTCGCTGACACGTGGATTAACCGGAGCGGGATACATCTCGCTGTAGCGATTGTTCAATGGTGAAGTCACCGCCAGTTGTTGGACAGCTGGCGAAGGAGACCGTGGAGTTTGCGGCTCCGACGGAGGATAGTTCAGGCGATCGGGATGGGCCTCGGTGGTACGATAGGTATTGATGTCCGGCTGCGGAGAAACCACATCCCTCTGCTGTTGAGGAACTTGCGGTGGCAGCACCAACACCGGCGACTGCAGAGTAGAGCGATCTCCTGGTGCAAATTGCTGCTGGGACTCCTGACGCTGGAAGTTTTGCTCCGAGGGAATGAAAATGGGGAGCGGCTTGGGGCGGATCTGCTCCGGATACTGAGGGCTGTCCAGCGGAGCCGAGGGCTGGATAGTCTCCACCACAGTGGCCTCTACCACCGGCTGGACAGGCGTAACCACAGGCTGAGGCGTTGGCTGGCGGGTGGGAGCCTGACTGTTGCTCAAGGCGGTTTTGGTGGCATTCTGCTGCGCCATGATTCCCGACAACGACAGACAGAAGCTGACTCCAATGATGTTTAGTAGCCAGATAATGGCCACGCGAGTTGTGAGGCACAGTAGAAGAATCGAAGGCGTCGAGAAGTAGACTCCGAAGGGCTCCATCAAGGTCCAGATAGCATTGGTAGTTTCCGTATCCGTATAGGCAATTCCAATGTAATCCAGTGCATCTTTCATAGACTACAATAGGAAGGATTATAATTTATAAAGTATAAGCCATATAAATAATTTTCTCTACCGTTGTATGGCTCAAGTCAATGCCATGATACACCGAGGCCACCACATCCAGGATACTGCCTGCCAGGACGGACAGAAACCAGGGCCAGTAGACGACTCCGGAGATCAGCTTAGTGGTGCGATTACACAAAGTGGCTGCAATGAATCATTGGTTATTAACCAGAATAACAGAGCTTTTGAGAAACTCACTTATAACCAACACCGAAGTGGCCACCCAGAGGCCACTTACCACTGCATAGGTTATCATGAAGATGAACTCCCTGTTGGTTATGACGAAGGACTTAGTCCAATCTATGCTCAAGTCAACTTGTTGGTTGTCTATCTTCAGCACCGGATCACCACATTCCTGCTCTGTTACGAAATTGTTTTTAGTAGGAATTTAAAGAAAAGATTATTTCCTTATCAGCGGTGCCATTTTAATCTTTGGAAACATATTTATGACTTAATATTCGAGAATCAGAACAGTTTTAAATAACTATAGATCCCAAGAAATCCATACTAAGCCCATATGAACTCACCTGAAAAGTAAATAAGTTCCATGGCATATTTGAAGGGATTTTCGCTGAAGTCAGTGACCCCATCCGGGCACTCCCGGAAGGTAATGCCCCAGATGGACAGGCCCAAATAAGCAACTCCCTGGGCCTGAAAATCATTTCCGTCAAATTACTGACTATTCCAAAAGGAATGTTTAATAATCTTTATAGCACTCACGAGTATGACAACCGCCATGAAGAGTATGAAGCACTTGGAAAACCCAGTGCCCATGCCCGCCATCTTGATGAGGTGCTATACTATAGAGTTCCTTTGGCGGGGATATTTTCTGTTCCGGTGAGTGGGTTGTGCAACCGGTGATCGCTGGGCTAGCCAATTGCCTACTCGATAAGACAACGCACGCTCTGGGGCTATAAATTCAATTTGAAATTACAATTCGTCAATTGGGAGAGATATCTAATCAGCTTGATTAGTTTTTGGTGAATTTTGCATATGGAATCAGGATAGCTCAATCATTCCTTGGCCATTCTTTTGCTTCTTGCTACACTTGAGGACAACTGTTTAATCTCTCGATTGTATGAATCACCAAAGGAAATTACGCTGTCGTCACTTCAATAAAGTATACGCAATGTTGCCCATAAACAACACTCATACCAGATCACAAATCGTTATCTCACCGATGGAACTCAATTCGCGTGTTTTTCGAAGTTTAAAAATGGAAAGCGAAACGCATTCGCCGACTGCCTCCTTTGCACTGAGCTCTTCCATCGAATGGCCATCGACTTTGGGTCTCCAAACGCTCCGCTCTTCCCCAGCGATAAGATAAACCTAATGAAATTTTAAGGGTTACACCTGTTATCAAAAGCACCAGCATGGATTGCTGACTACCCCAGATTGCACAATAGCAGAGTGCAAATATTTTGCTGATTTTGTAATACAAATTGAATGCCCCTTATCAACGAGCTTTTAGCTTTATCACTCAGAAAACATAGATATATTGGAGCGCAAATATAGGCAAACCTGCCCCCAGGTGGGTAAATAAAAAAAAGTACCTGACCAGTTAGCAGGAACTAAATTTAAACTCACAGCTGTTGAAGAGTTTATCAGAACAGAACGCCTAGTGGCTGACTTATCAATTTTCCCGCTCACGTTGCGTATACTCGATATTCGGACGCTCAGCTTTTCGGCTCGTGTACTCAGGGCTATCATCTTCATAGGTTGTAAGTGATTGAGTGAGCGGTTGAAGGGGATTTCTTTATCGGTGCTGATTCATAACGCACCCAAGGAAGCACCTAAAAAATGTACAACCCACAACGCCGGTAATTGTTTTGATAAACAATGTACATGCTGCCACCGAATAATATAAGGTAACCCATTCAAATTAATTCACACCTCAAAATATTATTAAACCAACTACCCTTTTTACAACCCCGGGGGTGTATTCTATTTTTTATTGAATTTATTTGCTTCTGGAAATGGGCAAAAAGTATGCCAATTAACAGTTATCAACATTTCAGCTATATGTTGCCATTTTAATAAATAAAACCGCCATACAAAACAAAAAATAATAATCATATTGCTTTCCAAAGAAATTCAAATTTCTTATAAGCGTATAAGGTCGTTGATTTTAAAAGTATTGTCTATTGCTTTGATTAGGAAGTTAGCTTTATCAAAATCAAATAAAACCTCATTCCGCTTTCTCCACAATTTTATAATCAAAAAGCAAACAATTGATTCGCAAATTGTTGACTAATGATGTTGGTCATCGGGCAATAAAGCTGATTAACACTTTGGGCCCGATATAAACACATTGATTGGATAGTTTGGGACCCGACAATTTGGCAATATTTAATTAACCCAGTTGAAGATCACATTTGCAACGCGCTTCTAGAATACAGATTGTAATATTTGCTTTTCACAGAAATATTTGCATATTGCCGTGAGGTTTTTCCCGCCGCAGATTCTGGGAAGGTTTCGTTCATGCCTGGCTGAACCGCTAGCTTCATTAGGGCCTGTGTTTATCCGAGCAATTAGAGCCTCAAATTTGGCAGAGATCGCCGGGTAGGCCGTGTGAATTGGAAATGCAAATAAAGAAGCTTCGCATCAGATCGAGTCACATGACTTTAATTGAACTTGGCGTGTCATAAATATGTGAGTGCGGGATGAGTTGGAGATGAGGGTGTTACAACTAGAGGGTTCAGAGGTCGACTGGCTTAAACGCGAGCCGATAGGATGACGGGATCGGCCTCCACCTCGGCCACCTTCTCCTTGAGCTTCTCCTCGTCCTTCTTCAGCTTCTCGATGGGCTCCTCGGTGGTGGTGGTGCTGGTGGTGGAAGTGGAAGTGGTGGAGCTGCCCACGATGGTCAGGATGGTGGTTGAACTCTTCTCCACCTCCTCCTTCTCCGCCGCTTTTGAGGTTGTGGTCTCCTCCTTCTCCGCCGCCTTGGCGGTGGTGGTCTCCTCCTTCTCCGTGACCTTAGTAGTGGTCACCGCATCCGTCTTGGTGGAGGCTTCCTCGGTGGTGCCCAGGGAGCCGGCAATGGCCACCGCCTCCTCCACACTCTCAATGGGAGCCGTGGACGTGATCGATGTCTTGGTGATGCTAATCTTGGTCTGCTTGCCATCACTGCTGTCGCTGCTCGAATCCTCCTTGATGGTGGCCGAGATCACCTTGGTGTGGTGCACCTGGAAGGTGGGGATCAGCGACAGGACACCGCCATTGTGTGGCTGCACCGAGACATGGTCGATGATCAGGTGGGCGGGCACACCATCCTCGCTGTTGGGCACCTTCCTGGTGGTCTGCAGCAGAATCTTGCGTCCATCGTCCGTGGAGATGGCGGCATCTGTGGCCGGGGTGGACTCATCCGATCGCTTGGCCAGCGCGTGGTCCTCATCCTCTGCGATTGCCGCCTGGGACTGGGGCTTCACCTCCTCCACTTCGCTGCCCGGAGCACTGGCCTGGTGCAGACTCAGGGCGGACTGGAACAGACTGTCCTCCAGATCTCCGATCAGGCCGTGGAACGAGATCTGCTTCAGCTCGGCATCGGGATTGGCCTGCACCTGCCGCTTGACCACTTCCTGTTTCTCCACGGGCTGGAAGCCCGGGAAGAGATCACCCAAATCGAAGGGGGCGGCCAAAGAGGACACCGCCAGGGATGCCAGCAACTAGAAAAATAATGCAAATGTAAGAAATGGATTCAATAGTAAAAGATACTATCCTAAGGATAGCAGAAACCCTTTTCATTATTTTATCATAATTATAGAAACTAGAGATTGATTTAATTTTAATTTGATCATTACAAATTATTGGGAGGATTAAATGAATAGCAAGAGAAACAATCGACGTTATATCAATTTTAGGAGCCCGAAACAATTTTTTATGTTTTTAGAAACATTGTATAAATATTACCATCTAAATTCCCTTATATTATCCCTACTCACGGTGGTTAGCAAAGTGCACTTCATGGCCACTGCTATTGCTGATTTTGTCCGGATGGGTTGTTTTCAGCTCCAAGCTCAGATCGGAAATAAGTTTACGTCCCAGTGGCCGGCGACTTTTTAAAGTTTTCCGGCGCCCGCCGAACGGCCGACTGAAAGTTGTGGCTAAGCTTTATTATTACGTTCAGTTAGCACTTAGATCGCTTGGTTTGCCGAACTTGTTTTGGTGCCTGCGCGTGCTACTCCCTCGATGTTTGGGCCCAAACCTATTCTATTTTTTATTCCTTCGTGCTCTGTTTGTTGGCCAACTTCTAAGTATCGACACTGAAAAAAAAGATTTAAAGAAATTTAAACTTAAACATTTTTAATGGAAGTTTTACGATTCTGAAGAGAAATGCCATAGCACTTTCTCTTCCCAAACAAAAACAAGGTGATATTACAATTTTTCATCGTGTTAAGAAAATGTTTTATTTTAGTCTGAACATTTAATCTTGTTTCTATTATTTATATTCAAAAGAAAAATCTTTATATTAGAAAATAATCTTACCAACTATCTAAATGAACGATAATATTATAGACCTTCATTTCGCATCCAATTCAGTTCAATTAGTTCAAAACTTAAATATATTCCAAGGATTTACAGATTGAAGATTGGACAGCGTCTTCTGTGCTGTATGACCCAGGAGTTTTTGAGGCACATCAGAAAGCGCCGCTGTTAAATCCAAGTTTATTGTCTTAATTGTGGGAATTAACATACATTTACTAAAATAAATGCCAAATACGAATCCAAGAAGACAACCAAAATAAAAACAACACAAGTCTGGAGACTTTGAAAGGCCAAAACAATCGTCCAAAAAAGAAAACATGTCCATTTGACAAACACGCGCTATAAACCGCAAATTATTTATGAGATATGATATTCACAAGATACTTTTGCATCCCTCAGATGACTGCACTTTAGGGCAATTACAACTGTGCCTCTTTAACACTTCATAATTAGAGCGGTCGCCATGAGATCACCGGGGCACAAAGTTGATATGCGAAATGTGCAAATTAATTTCGAAAATTTTCCGCTGAAACAAAGGTCCATGCTCAGGTGAAAACTTGTTAAAGAAACGTGCCTGGAAACCGATTTGCCTCCATATCGAAAAACCGCAAAACGTTTACTGCGGCTTCGATTCGCCGGAGAAAGACTGCAGGTGAAAAAAAAGGAAAGAAGAATCCAGGGAGTCATGAATGAAAGTCAAGATCTGGCTGGTTATGCCGGAGAATGGGCGGCTTTAGGCGGTTAACTCCAGTGTGGAATAACTCGAATACCAGGTGGGTTATAAAAATCTTTAAAGTTTTTAATTTGATTACAGATATTAAGGCATTGGGCGGGGGATGTGCGCAATATCTCAGCATCTGAGCACTAATACTGGATCTGAGTCAGCATGTTTTCGGTAGCAGTCGAAATTTCATAATTAGAGGTTCCAGAATTTGTATGCTATCGTACAACTTGGAAGCATCTGGAAAAACAAATGCCAGCAAAAATTGAAGAACAAATGGCACACAATGGTTTTTTTTTAGACTATGGTCTTTTAAAATATATTTAAATATATGTAAAGGTCTTAATATGTATTAAGAATAATAACTAATAAATAATAGCTAGACATTCTGACTTCAAAATAAAAAAAAAATGTTAAAAAGTTCTAACCACTTTTATAAATTCATTCAATTTGTAACTTTTCTATCCAAAACCACAATAAAAACGTATAATAATCTTTCGATTCAACATATTGAAGCTTACCCATATAAAGCTAGAAGAAAGAAAGAAATCAAACTTTAATTTCTAGAAGAAAGTGTTTTGCCACGGGTTGCTGATATTTTATTATCATACCGGGCGTATGCGTAATACTAAGAGCTACAAATCAAATGAAGCTTAGCATGTGATAGAGAAAACTCTCACATTGCATATTAAATGCAAAAGATTTGGAATATTTAGCGGTCAAAGCACATGCCCACGTCAGCCGGGGCGTATGCGTAATGTGAATGATCGCCACTTGGCAGACGGGCGCGTGTCCCAGGCCACATGCAATAATCCCGGCAAATGCGTCACCAGAGGTGCAATGTTTATGGACTTATTTTTGGCCAGATCCGAGGCGTAAACACCAAGTCGAGATGTGCGTAGACAGCCCTTGCCAACGGTCAATATTTGTGGGGATGGCGATTCGACTGGGGGACAGACCCTGGGACACGCTCCCAAAACGAGCACAATTAATTAGAGTCTGGGTCTCTCGAAAACAATCGCCAGTCCCCGGTTCCAAATGAAACGGAAGCCTAGAAACTGGGGATGAAATGTGGAGACCACGGAGAGTGGCAAACCTGTCGGGCAATTAACAGATGTCGATAATTACGCGGAATCGCGCCTCGCCAGCGGACCAGGCCGAAGCTCGCCGCCGCTATAAAAGCGCTCCGATCTGCACTAATTACCTTTAAACGCGCGAAAGTCAACGAAGGCGAGGCACCGGAGCCACTATCCCAGCACACAGCAGGCCGTCTCCATCTTCCTTCAGCCAACAAAAAGCCTAAGCCGTAAGATGCAGGTACACCAGGCTGTCTTTGGAGCCGCCGTGCTCGGCATGCTGTTGGCCATCGGAGGATCGCTGCCCGTTCTGGATGTCAGCTCTGGCATCGACAACGCCACCATCGAGGAGCTCAGGGCCAGCGTGAACGATAGCCCCAAGAATCTGTAAGCTGAAAATTACATAAAAATATTTTTGATACAAAAGTTCCTGACAAAGTTTGTCTTAAAACCGTAAAAATTATTAAATATAAATATATGGTGTTAAAAAATAGAGATTTCATATTATTGAATACAATTAACAACATATTTCTAAGAATTAACTTAAGGTCTATAGTTAACACAATACTAGATTAAACAGAAAGTTGGTTTTAGAACAGAGATTTATAGGATTTAATAAAATTAGTTTTAATACACCACAAAGGTCTAAGAAACAACTGGAGGTCTAAAGTTCAACATAACACTACTTCAAAAATGTATTGGAGAAAAGTGGAATATATTGTTACTCGTCATTATAAAGACCATAACTTTTCAAAATAATTATAATATAGATTTTCTGGTATCAATTATATTAGAGTGGTGTTCTAATTTTAGTACGCATATTCATTTATTCAGCTTTTTTTCTACTATTAAATAGTGTTAATTGCATATAATAGCACAAAACATAGATTTTTGTTATGTAGAAATAACCAGAATTATTTATCACATATTCTTACCGCGTAAAAAGGTTTCTAACTGGTTTTGTTTTCTTTCCAGCTATGTGGTCAAGGCGGTGGTCTACGAGATTGGCATCCTGACGGAGGTGGGCGAGAATGACACCAGTTTCGAAAGCCAGGAGCGCGTGGATCTGACCTTCTATGACACGCACAGCAACAAGAGCCACATTGACCTGGGCAACATCCCGCTGCCCATCCAGACGAACGTCACCGGCCAGGTGCTAACCGGTATTGCACCCGTCAACCTAGGAGCTTTCAGCAGCCCCCAGGAACTGCTGGAGACCCTGCCCCTAACCGGTAGCATTGTGAACATCACGCACAGCGACACCGCCTTCTATCAACTGAGTAGATCCAACACCAGTGCCGCCGACAAGCCACAGATCCTCGATCAGGATACACTGGCCAAGCTCACCCATGCGGCCCAGTTGTTCCCGCCATCGTCGACAATTGGCCAGTCGGTGCCCATCAATCCGGCCGCCGATAACGAGGTGGCCCAGGCGGAACCCGAGGATTAGGAATCTCATCGTGATGCAGTGCGTTGCTCTCAACCATACAACCTATAAATACGTATACTCTAGATCTACTTAGTTTTATGGCTTCACACACTTAAGTACCTACAGTGCTAGAAAAGACTGGACGAGAGGACAAGAGATCGGCACCATTGCCTTGGTCACATCACAAGGTTGGAATTTCACTTTTCTATTGTAAAGTAAAAATAAATTTCGCATTAGTGCTAGGTAAATGAGGCGTACGATCTTTCCAACTGGTGTTATCTGGTCTTCGGGCGGTGCGAGGTGGTCATATAGTCATGTGAGTGGCGAATGCTAAAAGCATTCCAATCACTTCTCACCTCTGACGTCGGCTGGATAGATGGAGTGGATCCAAAAGTAAGAGGCCCGGCTCAGAGTCCCCTCCTCAAATGAAAATCATCTATGATCTTAGCATTTTTATATTAACTAGGTTTTTAATTTTCTCATTTTCAGTTGGTTTGTTGTTGTTGTTGGTTGGTTGGTTGTGTGTGGTTTTGCTTTATAACTGTAGTACATGGGGGACCTTAGGTGGTAATAGATGATATATACTTTAATATTAATAGATAATGTGTAATATAAATATAAGTTTAAACTTGTACACAAAAATTAAAATGTCGAACGTCTCTCAGATCAGTGTAGAAGAGTCCTCTCCCCTGCGATTCGCTTCGCTTCGAGTAACTCTCTGTGCCTCATCGACTAATCGCAAAAATAAGCTAGAAGATTCGAGAGGAGAACGAAACGAAGCACGCCGAATTACGTGGGCGGGGACCTATTCAAAATGTATATACATACTGCAACACACATTTGGATACTCGTAGTTCTCGTATAAATAGTTTAGTTTTTAACTAATTTACATAGTCATCATGCTGACGATGCGCTCTGGCGGCTTCTTCATAATATGCTTTAAATATAGTTAAATATATATATGTATGTATGTGGTATATTTTAGTAGTAGCTACAACTTCAACTTATGTGCACACTCCAAAACGTATGTAACTAAAATCCGTAACTAGTATCTCTATCTGTATCTAGGCCGTTAGCGTTATGTGTATCGCGATCCTGTAGCTGGTGGTGTGTTGGTGATTAAACCGCAGCGAATTGCGGGCTACTCTAGTTTAGTCAGGGGTCACAGGTCAGGTGGTCAACACTCCGGCTTTCCACTCAACTCCTCCTCTTCCTACTCCTTTTCCGCTTCAGTTTCCTTTTATAATCTTGTTCTTTATACAATTCGACTTACACAAGTAAAAGGGCGTGACCTTGGGCGGCAAGGTCGCGTTCGGCTTAAAAACAAAACTAATGTTAAAGCGCTGTCAATGCTGC